CGTGCGGAATGGGCAGCAAGGTCTTTTTAGCACCCTTCAGTTCTCGACTGTTGGAAGTGGGCAACAGAGCCCTCCTTCTCTTAATGGTTGCTACAATAAAACCAATAGAAACGAATGTACACACAGCAGTGTGAGCGACCTATTGCTACAAACATGAAAATTTTAAAACAGGGGAATAGCTGTACTGTGCCTTACCCTGTCATCAGATTCACAACGCATCTGTTTCAGAAAGCGGTCCACCCGATCCTCAAATTTTGACTCCATTCTAATTTGATGCTTTGAACAAACCGGAGGACACGACGGAATTCCCAATCAACACTACACTTCAATACAAAATTTACTGCTCACGACAGAACGGTACCTCAAACACATACTAGGCAGTACAGAATACAAGACTGACGCCGGAAGGGCGAGATTTATCTTAACTGGACAAACGGAATGCACAACGTCGGCACTTTTGAAATCAGGCATCAACACGGGTTACATTTCGCTACCAACATAATTTTTCTAACCACTCAAATTATATTTACAATTCATTAAGATAGTACCTAACAAAATTAAACTGTCGCATGCAAATATCGTTGAAATTACCGTTTGTGCATCCATGAACTACCCATTGAGTCATTAAGTGTAAAAACAAACCGAGTTTCGTGCCACAATTGGTACCGAGTGTTCCGTTTTGCTAACCTCGCGACGAGGAAGCCTACGGCCGCACACAAAATCCAAAGCGCGCAACATTCAAAATGTTTCGTCATTTTCGCAAGAAATAGCTATACCACTTTCGAAAAAAAAACTTTAGCTCTCCTTTGGTCAACGTGGGCGTTGAAAAATCGACGCTTTGAGGAAGTAAAGTATAAATGCTCAAACACTTACCAAAACCCAGAGGAAAATGGTGCTAATTTCAAGATAGATTTCTTTTCGTAAAATAAATCATCTGTTTCTGAATGCATTGTGTATCGAGTTGGTACAGAGAAATTGCTAAAGCTGCTAATCCACATTGGAGAAAAAAAAATTTTCTCGTGCCTTCAGCACAGTTCTAAATTTTTTCTCCCCTTTCGATGTTTTGCAACATTGCAGTACAATTCCGAAATCAATTCAATTTTAGATAGCAAATACTAAACTTTCGCGAAGCAGTGGGTGGTCTTGCTGCGTTACGGCGTGACACGAGGTCAATAGTCAATTTTATCACTAAAATTTCTTTAATCTTTTTCCATAAACCCAACAACAGATTGGAATACTGAATAATTGCACTAAGAAATTTCGTTCACTTAGTTAACCTTGCTGGTTTTGCGTCTCCGGAGATCGTTGCATGATTGGCTTTCATTTTTCTAATTATCAGCTCAAAATTTTCCAATTAGTCTACTTACGGTTTACATGTATCATTTGCGATCCAGGCGACTGTGACTGTGACTCCACAGTCAATATCATCCCTTCGAAAGCGTACTGTCAATGACAAATTTACAGTTTTAGAAATTTTTTTTTTGTCAAATACTCATATTTCTTATGAAATCAATCGTTTTGTTTCTACAAATGGTTTCAGTACTGGTTAGCGTGTGTAGCATTCTCTTCCATACATTGTGCTTAAAACCCGCATTGTCAAAAACTGTCATTAATTTTTTCACCAGAATTCATTGTATTGGGCAATGTGAAGCAAATAGGTGTTCAATCACCATTAGTGTAAATTAACATGCATAGTTTTGGATTTTGTACACCAGACAGGCCCATACCGATCTACAAGCTTTTACATGTTGTCCGCATTGATATAGTAGGGAGCGCCACGATTGTTCGTCCGAATTTTCTTCGTCTAATATATTTTTAAATATTTTTAATCGGACGAATAAAATTGCGACGAACGATCGGCATCGGGTGTTACGTTCTATAATATTGTAAAATGTAGCACAATTTTTTAAAATGGTTTCTTTTATTTGTCGCAGCAAGTGAATAAAGGAGCGTGAGAATACTAAATATGCAGGATGATTGCTGATTTTATTTTTTTTCACCAAGGAAATAAAAATCTGTCCCAAGGTACATTTACGCGCTAAAACGCCGTCCCGCCGGCCCCCAAAGAAGTTCCCGATATGCCCGGGTTGAGGTGCTGGCGGCGGACTGGCTGAGAGGCTAGCAGCCGATTCGTAGTATGAGAAACAACTCCACGGTCCACGGGGCTTGCTTTAGCTAAACGTGCTATAATAAACGGTAGTGCGGTAACATTCCAGGACATGATCGTGCAGCACGTAGCATTTGCCTTATTTGTTTCTGTTCTCTCTATTAGGTTTTCTTTCGCAGTTCGAGATAAGGTTACGTTTCCTAAAATGTTGATAGACATGAGGTTATGCTGCCTTTCGATGTACAGCTGTAAGTTGGGAGAATTCTGCGAGGTACTGTCCACAGAGGGCAGATTTGTTGTGACCGAAGCTAAACCAAACCTAATTTATTTTTATTTATTTAATAATAATATACAGGTGTGAGGGCAAGCCCTGTACAGACATCTCTCTCTGTTTTGATGTTACTTTAAAGTCCGGGTTTTATCTAACCACATTGGGATGCAATAGTTTTGCTGTACCAACTGTCTCCTAATGTTCCCGTGTTAAAACGAAAGTCCTGGCTGACATGTCTATTCATTCTCATACGTTTGAAATGACTTAATCTTCTTTTCACATCAGAATGTTTCATTACCGGGTTCAATGTCAACTTTCCATTTGAAGTACCTACTAACTTCACGTGAACATTGTGTACAAACAGAAGTTAGTTGAACTTCTCTTAAGTAAGTGTCATTTTCCTAAGTAGTTTGAATCACCATCTTAATCTTATATTTGGGGATTCTGTACCCATGTAGATTTAGGGTCTGCATCAGCATTTTCAAAAACTAAGTGCTGTTTGCTGGCAATAATGGGGTCTCAGCAACTGTTGTTTAGTTGGATCTTTGCTGCACTATGTTAAGAAAGAAGGGTGTTAGAAAAGTGTCATGGCTTGCTGCTTTTTGAAATATAAACTTATCTTTTACAAATGCAACGCAAAATCAGAAATAAGCAGCTTCTTTTCATGTGTGGTAACATTCTCCTGATTTTTTACTCGTTCTTTACAAAAACCAAAAATAAAAACATCACCTAAAGAGAACGAGTATTGTGCTCAACACAGAAATGTGGTGATGTGGTTCATCTCGAAATCTTCACTAACTTAATGACGACTTTGGTATTTTGGTGTTGCATAAAGTTTATACTGAGGACCTTTGCCTCCTTAATGCTGTACATCAGTGCCATACTGTTTAGATTTGTTGTCTCAGAGCAAAGGCCTGTAACTTATTTTCTTTTGAACAGTAAACAGTGACTAAATTATGTTTTGTATGATAATTTTGTGTTGTGGAAAAGGGAGAAAAAGTGTTACTAGCCATAGTTTAAAAGGGCACTTCTAATTTCTGTAGTTCACCTACAGACTTTCCACAGAACAGGATAGATACAGACACACTACAGAGCACTCCTGTAACAGACATATTCAGTGCACGGAATCCTCAATGTCAGTCCGTAACAGAGATGTTCCGTAGTTTCAATTTTACAGACTCACCGTACACAGAAAATTTCTGTGTACAGAAAATACGTACCTGATCCCGTAGTGGATTACAAATTTAACTGGCTTATATGAAAAACTCTTGAGGAAAAACGAGAATAAAGGGACAAAATTTTTGTCTTGCATAGCTCTTGCAAAGGAGCCAGTCGACAAATGCAAATGAAGTTTCATTGTTCAGTCCGTTGCTAACATATCACTTATCTGCCAAACACCATTTGCAGCAGCATGAAGCATTAGAAGCCTGGCATATTGATTATATACTGGATCAAATTCTGTGCATAGCTGTGTCATTACATTTATCACCTCAGCTTGTTGATCCAGTCCGGACAAAATGAGTTACCGTAATGATAACCTCCTCTGGCATCCTCCGTGAGCACCTATCACGATAGGCGAAGCTGCGCGATGGGATGAACAAAATCGTACAATGAAATACTTGTCGATTAAACTTTCGTTTTCCGATCAACAAAGATGGAGGGAGTTTGAAACGTAAATAAAGCGTGCAGTGCAACGTACCACCAAACCAAAGACATCGTTTTGAAGTGACTGCGCTCTGCAGACGACAACAACGTCCTCCTTGTTTTGTTTGGGATTCGCGCTATGAGAAAGTCGAGAGCACTACGAACGGAGGGCGTCGTCTCCATCTGGCCAAAGGAGAAGGCACTCCGTACGATTCGGTGAGAAAACTTGTAAAGATCTCATTTTTATGATTTTACTTGCTTCTTTTGTATCTTTTGCGTACTTTAATTTCTCGTCGGGGGTGTGCCCACCGCTATCTACTGCTAGAGTTTGGTTAAGTAATTTTTCATTCTCACTGCCTTTTAAACGGCCTCATGCAGGCTCATCGGCGGCTTCGGCCTTAACGAAAACAAGTTCTTTACTTTTAATATAACAACAAGAGCGTAGATCTGTAAAGTAAGTGATTGTTGCAAATGGTTAAGTTGCAAATTTTCAAAACTCTAACCTCTCTTTCCTGCTCAAACTCGGACGTAATCACAAAAAAATTGTAAGAAACATGAAGGCCGGAGGCGACCCGAATCAGACGATCCGAGCAGCCGAATCCACCCGAGCGAACCGATGAGATGAACCATCAGGCAACTTGTTGTTTTGTAAACAAATCTTGGCTGGTGGCGTTTTCTATGGGAATTAGGCGCTAGTTTCCGCTACAATTTTGTATGATTTTTCTGCATTTTCGGTGAACGCAATAGTACTTGCTTTATGCTCCCCACCTAGTCTTTTCACCCGTTGTCTTTTATCCAAGTTCGATTTTGCCGTCAAATATGTTTTTCCGAAGTTCATGCTCGGCAATGTTACCGATCACTTTATTCGATTCATTCTGCTTTGTTTTTCTCTAATGCTCCGTAATGCATTGTTTTGCTTTTTAACTGATGTGTTAAATTGTTACCACAAGCATAACTAGGCACTGACTTGCATGTCTCAAAACTTTGTCTTGTCTTCTACGTGCAACAGCATAATGCTTCAATCATAACCTAACCTATGCCTTACAATTAAAATCTTCCTTTTTTGTTTCAGGTGCATGAAATGAGAGGAACCCATGGAACACTGTCTACTCAAAACTACTTGAATCATCCGACCATTGCAGGATGAGCCTATTGATTTGCTGTAGGCGTAATCATGTGAGTACATACAGGATTCCGCGAAGTCAGATATAATTTGCAAGAAGTTTTATTTATATGTAATCACCTAATGAATGTCAAGTCAACTCGTAATCACATTTCAAATGTCAAATGAACTTCTAGCTTTTGCAGTGATTGTCCAGACAATGTCCACCACAGGGCAACTTTTAGTCATAGGTCTTGCCAGATGCCATTTTGAAGAAAAATGCAGGAAGCTGTTAACTGTTTACTTTTCAAACAAAGACTGGGACCAAGTCAGCTTTATAATTGATTCAGTACTCCAGGACTTATTTCACACAATGTCCTACTTATACATGACTGTTTCTTTTAAACCGTTTTCCATATGGTTACTTTTCTTTATTTCCAAGGCGGTCTTACATTTGACATTCTCTTATTTGATGCAAAGTTAACGCTAAGATATATGGGCTGGCTTTATTGTACTATTAAGCTTAGTTTTCCAAATCTTTGTTTCAGCTTTGTTTAAATTTTTTGTCCTTATGTTGCAGGGGACAGGTGCTATGCAGACAAACTGGCGCAGTGCCGAGTGGAGAGACTGCCAGCCCTAGCTGAACTGGACTAACATTGATGTACTAATTTGGACTGAAGTGAGTATAATCAAAACCATTGTCTGAAGCTTTGAACTTAAGCATATTTGAATTTTGATACCGTTTATTGTTTCAATTCGTGATTCTTTTGCCATTGTTTGTTACATCATGTATTATTCAAAGTCATCACAAAATAGCAACAGAAAGTCAATTAATAGTGATTAGGTTTTTATTCAATGGTTTAGAATGAGACTAATTGTGTTTTGTCTCTGTGATTCAGGTGCCATAAGCATGACATTTTAAAAACTTATTAATTATTGGCTGTTGTGGGTGGTGTGAGTTTCTTTAGTTGAAGGTCACACAAGATATCATCCCAGCGTAAATGTGGACACAATGACCGGACAGTGTCATCGGTGCTGCAGCAACTATATTGGAGTATTTTCCTACATTACTTTTTCTGTATTTGATTCATGTAAGTATTGAATTTGCCTCATCAAAAAAAAAATGCTTTGCTTATAGTGGGTGATGAAACAGTATGAGAGATTGGATACAATCATGGCAGTGGTGCTGGTAATACCACTGTATCACTTTCTCTGGCCTTCGTCTGTGTATGTTGAAGTCTAGGCTGTTGCATTTGGATTTGTGTCACCCATTGTGCTAATTTATTTTTTTGTGTGTGATTTTAGGTTTATGTGAGTACCTTAGTACCTTCATTATCCCAAGGCCTCATCATTGGGATGGAGTCAGGCCAATTGGTTTTTATCAAGAATTAAGCTTTAAAAAAGTGTTCTAATGGAGCAGGTATGATTTGTGTAGCATGGAAGTTCGTGGCAAGAACCCTTTTGTTTTCAAGTTTATTTCAATGCACCACGGATATTACAAGTTCTTTCTCGCTTTGCTTATGCCCAAAGAGCGGTACCTTGTTTAAAATCAAGTAATAGTTGTCCCTCTGCTGATCATCTTCATTTCGCTTCCTTTAAGGATATGGGCTTTTGGCTGGAGTACATACTGAATAGTTGCTGCTCTGAGCCAAGGCTGTGTGGATGGATGGCTGATGAAGTGTGATGGTGCAATGAAATAATTGAATACAGTATATAGTTACAGTACAGTTATAGTATGTAGTTACCTTAAACTGATTCATTTCAAACTCAAGTTTTGTTGTTCATTGCTTTCTTTCTTGTTACAGTGTGAATGGTTTCATTTTTCCTCAAGGTTTTCTTTACTCTACGAGTAATTATTGTAATGCGGATCAGTTGGCTGCTTGATAAAAAAATTTCCTTCAAGATGCTTGAATCATGAGAAAGGGCGCCCTTTCTCATGCTTGAATACTGTGTTTCAATGAAAGAGTCCTTGCAAGGTAAGCTTTCAAAATTCCTTGAGAAACATTTTTGAGACTGTTTCTTTTCTTACTTGCATTCTTTTTTGTTGTTTTTTTCAGTGTGCTTCTTATACAACCATACTGGCAGTCAAAAGTATATTGTGACATCAGTTCACACGTTTCAATTAGCTGTATCGTTTTCTGTCTTCCTCCCCTTTGTTTTAATGTGAAGTATATTTGTACCCTTATTCCTGGTGGAAGAGTATAAAATTCTGCATGCTCTTTCACGAATCCACAGTCTAGGTGAGTCAAAGGGGCATTTGTAATCTTTATACCTATGGCCATGTTCTAGTCCTATCATATTTTTCTCATCACCAGCCTTGCAGTGATCTGCTCACTAGAAGAGATACCTTTGTGGGTAGTGTTGGTGTGGGCTACCAAGTTATTTAATTGGCTGCTCACTGGCTAGCCTGACCACATCGTGCCTATCCTGGAGGTGTGACTGCTCAGCATATGTCATTGGTATGCTAATTTTATTTCTGTGATAGACTTGAGAGTAAACTCACTGTGACCTAGAAATCGCCTTTCTGTTGCAGGCTTATTTTTCTTGTGGTTACCAGTATTCTCCACTTTTAATTCTAGTAATAAAATCTGCATATGCATCATGACCAGCACTTGAGATGAATGGGATTCTATCATCTGCATATGCATCATGACCAGCACTTAGAGATGAATGGGATTCAATCAACTTTTTGGTAAATTAAATTTCATTTGAAACATTGTGTAGACCTGGTCTTCTGACCTTTAATAATGTGTATTTTTTCCTACCAGGAAACCTACAAGTCTTAATGCTGGTACATTGAAATTATCTTTTGTAACAATTCAATGGTACAATTCAGTTCTTAATTTCAGAAAATCAATCAAATAACCCAGCAGCCAGGATATTATTATCTACCCGCACATCTGTAAGGGAGGAACAGTTGCCTTTTGCTCAATTACTCAACCGTCACAATGGAGTAAGTGAATCAAATAGAGTAGTTGTCACCTATCCATATTATTCAAGTTACCATCACAATTTGTGATGAAACATTTAATTTACCAACCTTGTTGTTGATTTCATTCTTTCTTGTTACTGTCATCTTATTCTAAATCTAGGATATCGGGATTTTTCCTTAATTTGGGCAATATATTATTTTGTGCCGTCAATCAGACTTTCAGCCATGGAACAGAAAGAGATCTTCAGAAAGTCATTAGCTCTTCAATTTGATTAGTATTTTATTCATAAACTTTGCTCACAACAGAAAACCCCACCCGTAAGTTGCCATAGACCTACATCAACATTTGAAACTCAAGGTGTTTTTTTAATTGCTTTTGATACTTATTGCAGTGTGAGCGGATTCATCTTACACCATGGTTTTCTTTACCCTTTAAACTTGCAATGATTGCCTTGGCCTCAATCACCCAGTAAAGGCTGATCAATGGGCTGCCTGATTAAATTTGTTTTCTTCATCAAGACGGTTCGATGTGGATTATCGTAGTGCCCTTATGTCTGGTGGAAGAGTATGCTGCATGCTCTTTCATGAATCCACCGTCAAGGTGAGTCAAAGGGGCATATATAATTTTTATACCTATGGTCATGTTCTAATCCTATCATATTTTTCTCATGACCAGCCTTGCTGTGATCTGCTCACTAGAAGAGATTCCTCTGTGGGTAGTGCTGGCGTGGGCTACCAAGTTCTTTAATTGGCTATATAGAAGGCTGCTCACTGGCTATCCTGACCACATCGTGCCTGTCCTGGAGGTGTGACTGCTCAGCATATGTCATTTGTATGCTTGTGTTATTTTTTGTGATTTATATGACATTAAACTAACTGTAACCTTAATTTTGTATTTTCATTGCAGGTTTCTTTTACTTGTATTCCAATATTCAGATGTTTTAATGCAAGAAAGGTAATCTGTATGTAAGTGAGAGCACATTTTCGAATGTTGGTGTCATTGTGATCATTTCATTATTAATGCATGAGCTGAGAGTACTTCCCTATTCAAGTGTACTATTTGGAGATTGGGCAGTTTTTTGATGGTTGCCATTTTCCACAGCTTCCAAACTATTACGATCCATGAAAATTGTTTGGGTGCTCAAACACTTGATCATTGTACTGGAATAAAATGAAATAAGTTTTTGTCAGGTACTTTTTTTCAAGGAGGTTACCATAATGATTTACTGTGAAAATTTTTTTTCATCCGTTTTGTTGATTGCTTTCTTTCTTTTTACAGTGTATGGTGTGTCATCTTTTTTATCAACGATTTCATCAGTTTTCTTCGACCTGCGTAATCATTGCCTAGGCCTCAATTACATTCATGATTGATCAGTCATGACACCCGATTGAGATTAATTCATTGGTGTTCATTGACTCATCATCATCAGCATTGACGCTGTTAGGCCTAACAGCTATAATAAAGTTCCCCTTATTATGATGTTGGTATACAACAACTGTTTCCATGAGAGGTGATAAGCTAGCATGGTAAGTTACTAATATTTGAGATGAGACATTTCAAACATCAGTTTTGTTGTTGATTGCCTCCTTTCTCTTTACAGTGAGTTTTGGGTTATATTTTTCATCAAAAATGTGGTTTTGAATGCCTTGGCCAGCCTTGGCCTCAATCAGCAGAAGAAAAATGATCCTTTAGCTTTGTGATTTTATTCTTTCCTAAATTATAATGTTGAAATGCAATAATTGTTTCCTTAAGAGAGTGCTTGCCAGGTAATTTATTTTAATGTGTTGTGAAGAATTCCAAAAGTCGACTCTACTGTTTTTCTTTTTTAGTGCATGTTTTTTTATTTTTGCCCGAAGGATGTCTTTACTCTTGCCAAACATTTTGGATCTTAAATGCCTGCTCTTCATATAATCAATCAGGCAAAAGCAAATGATCTATAAGACATAGACTGAATGGATTGCTGGCTGGCAAGGGAGGCGGACAAGAAGACAGGCTCGCTGGTACCTACGCAGTTGTGTGATCACACACATTTTGAAAGTAGGAGAGGGAAGTGGTAGCAAAGCAAAAGCAGTTTTTATCTTACATCATACAAACCAATCAAGTATGTTCCAGTCAAAGTGTTGTGCCATTACATAAAAGCTCTCAAGGTACGTTGTTTTTTTCTCATTACCTTATTTTGCAGATTTAGGTATTAAGTTTTAATGCTGAAAATTTGCTATGTTTTTGACTCTCTGCAGAGTGATTTGCCTTTTGAAAAAAGTGCTTCTGTTGTAAATGCAGAAAGGTTGTCCTGCAGATATTGGCATGGTGCAAGCAAACCTTAATCAATGACATTGGCTTCAAAGTTTCTGAATTTATTCAGTCAAAGGTTTTAACCACAAGCGAATTGTTGAAAGCAAAACTGTGGGCAAGGGTAAGTTTAAAACCCATAATCCTCTGGATTGAAATATTTCACAAGCATTCTAATAAGTACTTGTTAATTTTTTCCCCAGACACTTCTATTAAAATGGACGGACATGTTACTTAGGGGCACAATTGTCATGTTTTATGACACACTGCAGCTAGGTGTGTACGTTTGGTTCCAACACATCCCATTCAAGAAATGGTAATTATAGTAATAACTTAAAATACATTAAGGAAAAGAAAAATGGAGAATACATTATATCTCTTTTTATTCTGTTTCTTTTTCTTTTTCAGGACACAATCCCGACGTACTAAACTGGAGAGACTTTCTTTGAAGACCGTCAGGCAGGCAGGCAGGCAGGCAGGCAGGCAGTGCAAGAAGTACACAAGCAAGCAGTGTGGAACATCCAACAAAGAAAACAAAAGCATTCAAGTCAATGCATGGTGCAAATATAAGCTGAAAAGCTCTTGAAAATCTTGATGATGGTTTTTCTTAAGTGCCCTGCGAGACTTCCTGAGTCATCTGAAGTTACAATGTCCCTCACATCCCTGCACATTCATCTTGTCGTCGTCTTTGGAACATTTCTACGTTTCATCCGAGAAGTACAGCAGTGGAATAGGTCAGGCAGAGGACATTACAAATAGGTGAATTAGGAACACTTCAAATGTTAACTTGCATGTCTTGTGTTCTCAGTGCATTCTAGCAATGTTCCGGAGTCGATCGTACTTTAATTTAATGCATGTATTTTTGTCGGGCAATCGATTGGTGTTTAAACGCATGCTCATTTTCCATCCCGTAGTGCATGCCAATATTCATTGGATGCTGGGCTGCGAAGGTCTCCAGCCCCTCCGTAGGATATCATGGAAATAACGGAAACTTTCCGTACACAGACTGTCTGTAGTGTTGCTGTACCATAGTACGGAAGTGGGTACAGAATTCCTGTACCTTCACTGTACTAAGGTGGGAAAAGTACAAACCTTCCGGGTAGTTAATTGACCTAACATTTTCCGTGGTCTTTTCCGTGTTTTTTTCTAACCTATCCATTTAAGAAACCTGTTTTGTATTGGAGGCTGTGATGATTTCTTTGTGATTGTGGGCCATTTTCAAATGTTACTTCTTAGCTCCGTGTAACTGCCTCTATTATTATTTTTTCAAGTATTTGTATTGTCACTATCGAGTCCTAGTTCTGTTGTTCCTGCATTCCTGTTATTGATTGCATAAATTCTTCGTTTCTCTCACTGATATTCATTTGATGTTTGACCCATTTAAAATCAATTGCTTTTCCTTCTCTGCTGTGTTATTAGTGTTGGATGTTGATTGTTTCAAGTAAAGAATTCCAATCGACCTTGTATAACTTTTTATTTTTATTCTTGATGAAAATTATCTGAAATTACTTATTGATTTAGGAAACTACTCGATAAAAAGTTCAGTTTTGGAAAATGCAGTGTAGATTTACTCACAATCAAAGGTGGTCTGAACAAATGAAACACTTATCTGATATTTCATAGCACTTCACCTTTCTTTGATCCAACAAATTGACAGGTGAATACACTACACAAGACACCCAACTGAGTAAATGGTTGACTCCACCCAGCGTCACTAGATGCACTCCAGGCTGCAGTACACTTGCCGAGTAAGATCATAGGCCTTAAAGTATTAAAAAGAGGATCTAAAAGTCTAATGTTCATTCCTAAACGTGCAAAAAAGGATCCATAATTGCTGCTAAAGAGTTGCACAAGTGTGATACTTAAATACACATTTTTAATATTAAAATACACAGAGAAACACGAAACTACCATAGGAGATACTCTAGTTGAAATTTGATTGCACTTTGACAAAGAAATTATTGGAGACACAACTTACAATATTGCTCAAACTAATACACTGATATTTCTAATGTGATAAGTTTCATAAAATTAGCAGCGATAAGAAGGCTAATGTGATTCCTTCAAATAACCGCATCATTAGGAGCAATGAAAAATTATTGCGTTAAAAATGCAATAAGACTCTAAGGTTTCAGCTGGCCTGTGCCCAGATTTTTGCAGTTTGCATTTTTGCAGGCGAAAAGGGCACGATGTGGAGAAGGAGGACAAAAGTGTGCGTACCCGACGGTGCGTTGTACCACACACGGCTGGGGTGCGGTCGCCGCGCCGGCCGGAGGCATGGACCACGGCCCAGAGGTCGGGTCAGCATAGGTGTCCTCGGCGTGTAGACTCAAAGAAGCGGAAGGGATCAGAAAGCTGTAAAATCACCAGCCGGAGCGACTGCCTTCGCTGGGAACGCGAGAGACAGGCTGTAGGGAGAGAGTACGGGCGCGCTCGGGGGTTGGATGGAGGGGGAGGTAGGGGGAATGCCCCTCCTCTCAAAGGGAGGGCGCGGGACCGGCATGGGCAACGCAGAGAGGATGCGAGGATGGACATGGAGGACGCGAGGGCGTGAGCCCGACGGTGCACCGAACTGCAGGGCAGGCCAGCCCTCGGCAACCCGCGCCGGATTGCGACGAGGGTGACGGCGGACCGCGAGGCGGCAGCACGGAAAGGCACGCACCGGAGTGACGTTTGGGCGCTGGAAAATCACCGACCGGAACGACTGACTGCCCTTAGGGCGACGGGGGGCCGCGACAAGGGGAACGGCTGAAAACGAAAAGGGGGCCCCCGCGCGGGGGAAGAGGGCCGGCGAAGCTGCTGAGAGGGCACACCGGCCCGCACTGCCCCGCCCCGGCGCAGTTTAAGGTTTAAGGATGGACGTTCAACAAAAGGCTCCGTCAAGCATGATCTTCTCACTTTTACTTAGTGAGGTTGATGGGCAACACAGGGGGCCCTTAGTCCGCAGAATGCGGCTGCCCGCCCTGTATTGCCACACGCACGCCCGCTTGCTCATGGCCCTGCCCTAGAGCGGGGCGGCCAGCCCTGGGCGGACGCCCTGCCGCGCCGGGGCTGTCCCGGTCCAGCTGCCGGCTCCCGCGGCTCGACGACAAACACATGGAAAGGTTGCCCGGTAATCCAGGTTGGGAGGATCAGTTGCACGCCCTTGACAGCGGCCTAGGGCAGCGCGACTACGCCGCATGCAGTGCTATGCACACGGTCTGGGTTTCCCAGGCCTAAAGCGCCTGCGAGGTAGGCGCTACAAGCGCTACAGCACTGGTAGAACTCAATCGTAGTTTTACGCCTTTCTTCAAGCGTAGTAGAACTACGCTCGGGTTCAAGCATAGTTCTCCATATTGCCCCTATCCCGCCTATCTAAATGCATGGAGGAATTTCGTCTCTACGCTCTAGCATCAAGTCTATGCTTGAACCAAGCATACACCTACGCTTCAGTTTTACCGGTGAGGTCATGAGCAACGCGGTGCTCTCGGAGACATGAGGGCAACGGTACGCCCTACAAGTGCGTGACAGCGCCGAAACGACTTTCGGAATAAGATTGCAGATGACCAGATGGCTGGACGAATGACAGCATGACACATAGCGACTCTATCCCGTGGTAGTGGTGGGCCTCGGTCCAAATCACCGGATGGATGAGGCGACGATACGTTACCCTGTTCGGCTCTACAAAAGAGGCTGGTGAGGGGCAAAGAGGTGCACCCCGATCCCATATTCCGATGTGACGTTCCTCTCTCTGTTGCCAAAGGCGAAACACATTTTGCGTGGTTGAGGCTAACCGAATCTTGTCCCATTTGAGCGAATGTTAATGCGTTTATTCCCGTAAGATAGAGTCAAAACTGACAGACGGATGCAAGGAACATTCCCGACTCTTCAAGTAGAGGTGGCTTGTGTGGGGCACGGCGAGAAGACGCTAGAATCTGTAGTTCGGGATGTGGTGGATTGTTCGCCGCGGACCTGCACAAACAAAAAAAAACAAGTTCGGGGCTCAGGCAGAAGGAGCCGTGTTCACCTTGCACTAGGTGTTTCAAAAGCCCCGTAGACGTTTAAAGGTATGCCACCCGCTCGCCGTCCTGCGGGCGGGCTTGCCCATGCGCTGGCCGGCGGGCGCCCGAGCGATCATGGGTTGCCACTCGTCCACTAGTGCAGCTGGGTGACGTACCCTTCCCCCTCGTAGCTCTGGTTGCGCTCGGCTGGTCCGGTCAACCCTCACGTCACACCTGTCACAGGTGGCGCCAGCGTCGTCTATCGGCCGTCAGTCAAATCACCTCGGAAGATGTCGCTAGATTCGGAAACATTTGCCGCTCTGTGGTTCGCGGCTTGAATACCTCCAAACTTCCACGGGGCTTTTGAAACACCTGGTTCTGTCGGTAAGCGCTTTAGCCGCTGCCTCCATGTGCCAAACAACCGACTTCCCTTAAGGTCGGCCTGTGAGCATGGAAGGGAATACAAGTCTCTCCGTAGTGATTTCTATCTGAGTACAGATCGCTCAAATTCCTTTTCCATATGAGCACGGAAAGGTGTGTACGGAACGAGATGGATCAATTACACATTTGCCAGGGCGCCCGCGGCCCAGCGCACTCGACCGCGGCGATGCTAGGTAGAACTGAGCGCCTGCCGGTTCGCAGCATGGGCCATCCCGCTCGACGGATGTGCCAACGTGGCTGCCTACCCACCAGGCGCTCGCAAGAACTAGTAATGCTATTGCTATTAGCGACTCGATGGAAAACGGGACAAAAAGCCTCACTGCTCCTCCCTCCTGTCCCTTGGGCGAAGCGGACAAGGAACTGCCGCCCACCCCCTTCACGCGAAGTGTGCGAAACGTCCGGCAAGTGCTGTCATTGTTCGCTGGTCAATTTGAAGGGGCGTTCATACGCCAGCGTTGAAGGGGAAAACTGTCCTCTGTGCTTCGTTTGCAACGCATACCTCTGGTGGAAGGTGTTCTGGGTTGCTGGAGCGGCGTCAACTCGTCGTCCGAAAATGGAGGCCTCGACGGCCCTTCGATGGTAGGAAGTGGAGGTGCCAACGTTATCCTTGGCTCATCCGGTAGCACGAGAAGAAGCTGTCTCATCATTCTAATCTTATGATCGGTTTCCCGTAAAAACCTATCTCGCTCCCTTTGAAGACGAGCAAGTTCAGTCTGCAATAAGAAAGAATAGTAGTAATTTCACCCGCACATTTTCACACCAGCTACGTTACACGTCAAATAAAATTGTATTTACCGACACGAAGGCGCGGCATTCGTGTGCCATGAGGCTTTGACTGACCCTGCTTCCCCTGCTTCCCCAGGCATCCATATTTGACGAATACGTCCGTCTATTGTTAGGTTGGATCGATGCGCCCGCTGTTCGATGGTTCTTGTTAATTTTTATTCTTGCTATTGTTGAGAAAGCAGCGACAAGGGCTCGATACCTCGATCTAGAGATGAATTTATCATCCAACTGTTTTACCCGCTCCTCCGCCTGCTAGCTCTTACACCTAGAATCGCCTTCGTGTTAGGCGCCGGCACCATCGCACCATCGGCGCATTGAAGGCCGGGGCGGCGGCGGCATTTCGCAAACTTAGCTGGTCCGTTGCAATTTCAGCCAGCTTGGCAGCGGCAGCGGAAGGTAGAGACGGAGGCGTGAAGGGGTTTCCCTGGTGCTACTAGCGGGGTTTTGTTGGCCCGAGTACGAATAATGACTGGGGGCGGCCACAACGCGCGTGCGTGTGCAGCGGGGCATCTGGACGTCGCGTCGGAGGAGCCATCTAAACAAAATTTACACCTTGAACAATGATAGTTGTGAAGTGAAGCGCCTGCAGCGCCTGAGAGGCGGGTGCCAAATGCACGCTGGTGTGTTGCGGACCGGCGGCGCTCAGGTGCAAAAGATGGGCGGTGAAACCATGGTTTGATAGATGGAGTCCGGGTTGAAGAAGCCGTCGCGCGGCAGCAGGGGCGGGTCGATGGGCTTGTAGGTGGGGCTCATGCGGCGGATGTGTGGCCGCAGCAGTGAGTGCCCGATGCGGAAGGCGCGACAGGAACTCGTTGAAGGCCATGTGCTGGATGGCGCCACCCAGGATGCGCTGAGCGTGGTGGTACAGGTGGTCGTCGTCCCAGTGCGGGTTGACGGCGCGCAGGCCGTCCGCCAGGTGGTTGTGCTCCCTCATGAACACGGTGTGGATGGCCGTGAGTCCGGGCTGCTCGCCGACGATGAAGCAGTACCCGGAGGGCGCGCGGCACTCTGGGTGCAGGGGGCTCTGGGACATGAGGTCCTTGCCGCGCACGGGGTGCAGCGTGACGTTGAGGCGGCCGCCGCCGAAGGCGCGCAGGTCCCTGCCGAGGCAGGCCTGGTCGCCGCCATGCTGCCGTCCCGGAAGGTCATGTTATGGTTGATCTGGTCGCGCGCCCGAGGTGCTGCTGGCCGGGCAGCGAGCGCATAAAGGGGAAGCACAGCCTCTCGTGGGTGCTTTGGTTGGCCGGCGGGAAGGAGTGGTCGCCCAGCGGCACCGCGATGGGCATGCACTCGGGGTGCACGGTGCGGGCCGAGTCGCAGGACCGGCAGTAGGGGATGGACGCGAAGTAGCCTCGGTGCACGGGGGTAAAGGTGAGGTCGTTGTCGAGGTTCTGGGCGAACTGCATGACCATGAGCGAGTAGCGCGTGTGCAGGTTGCTGATGTCGGCGTGGATCATGGTGGACACGAGTCGCGGCGAGGGCAGCGGCGTGCCGGTCACGGACGTGAGGCGGGGCCGCGACACGCCGTTCTCGTAGGCGGGCGGCATCAGCCGGTTGAACGTGCTCAGGCTCTTGCCCAGGCTCGGCTTGCGCAGGTTGTTGCAGTGCCCGCTGAAGGTCCTGGTCCTGAAGGGCGACGTGGGGTCGCAGGGCTGCGTGTCGTTCGCGACGGGCCCGGCGCGCGCACATGCGGTCGTCGAAGGTCATCTGGGGCTTGCCCACGAACGGGCGCACGTCGATGTCCTGCAGTCCGTCTCCGCTGAGGATGTCGTCCCTCGTGAAGCCGATGAGGCTCGATGATCTGGCGGCGCTGGAGGCTGCTGCCGGTAGCCGGGCTAGACGGGGCTAGAGCTCGTCAGGGAGTTGAGCAGCTCCTCGGAAGCGTACTCCAACAGCAGGGACGAGTTGGCCATGTGCTGGGCCTCCTTGTTGGCCTTGGAGAAGGCGGTCGCCGTGCCCTGCGAGGACTTGGGGTCGATGCCTCCCTTGTCGGCCCACGTGCGGTACTCGAACTGCTGGCGCGCCGTGAGCCCCTTCTCGGCGCGCTGCACCGCCTCGCGCACCAGGCTCTCGGGGATGTTCCTTCCAGGCCGAGGATAGCTGCAGCGAGAGCTGCAGGCCGCAGGCGATGCACACGTTCACGTGGGAGTCCTCGCGGACGAAGGCCTGCGGCTGCAGCTCCGACAGATCCGGAGTGTGGGAGCAGATGACGCCGCCCAGGGTCACGCGCCGGATTTCGTCGAGTTGCGCTCGCGAGAAGGAGGACGGCGGGATGTCGTTTTCGTACCAGAACCTGTCGCCCGCCCGCACAGGACGGAGAACTGATCCGTCAGCAGGCAGCCCAGGGTGGGGCCCATCACAGCCCCCTGGGCGGGGGTCTCCAGCGTGGCGCCGGCCAGGAGGTCCACGTCGAGCACGTCCCTGTAGGCGGACTTGAGCTTCTGAATGCGGTCCTCAGTGAAGAGTCCAGGTCGGGATGACAGCAAGGAGAAGTCGACGGGGTCCGTGAGCGGCACGCCCTGGGTGCAGAAGCTGAGCCAGTTCGGGTAGGCCGCCAGACCGTGGTCGCGGCCGCGGTGCAGCAGAAATGCGGCGGGATCCATGTATTGGTGGCTGTCGGCGCGCTGCTGGCCGGGCATGCGCAGGCTGGGCTGCAGCGCGGGGGACCCGTCACGGCCTGCACCATCCTGGTGAAGCGCTGCTCGTTGAGCGCGTCTATGCGGCCGGGGCTCGTCGTGTTGCTGACCAGGGCGGCCGGCACCATGGACCGAAACGCGTGCATGGCGGCCACGCCGACGGAGGCCAGCGCGCCCGCGTGCACGCCGCTCGAGTAGCCAGTGTAGTGGCCGCGGTCGCGGGGCGCCAGGTCCCAGGACTCGATGGTCACCTCGCCGAGCGCGGTGGGCAGAAACTCGCTGTACGTGATGTGCTGCAGCTGCGCCGCCACCAGGCGCCGCGCCTCGACGACCAGCGTGTCGCCGTCCCAGTGCGGGTTGAGCGCGGCCAGGCGCACGGCCAGGCGGTTGTGCTCGCGGAGGAGGAGCGAGGCCAGCGTCGACAGCCCAAAGCCCACGGTCTGGCACATTCGGCAGTTCTCCAGGACGACGAGTCCGCCCTCGGCGGCCTGCAGGCTGCGGGCCTCCTCCTCAGAGTTGCCGTACAGCGCGGACGCGTCCAGGAAGCCCGTGGCCGCGTTCATCTGGTCGCGGTGCTGGAAGTGGCAGTCGTCGTGGAGGGCGGGCAGCGACCGGACGTAGCCCCTGAAGGTGGCGTTGGCGCCCTCGCGAGGTAAGTCCCTTTGCAGTCCAGCCCGTCGGCCCGCCGCGTCCATAGCGCGTTCACAGCCTCCACCCCGGGATGGTGGCCGCCGAGTGACCGACGGACCGCGCGTCGCCGCGTGCAAGTCAACAGAGTGAGCAAGTGCGTCAACACGTGTGTGCGTTCGACATTGGAAGGAAAAGAGTTGTACAACAAAGTGGTGCGCGCTGCGCCGTGTTTCCACCAAGACGAGTGATGCATCGCGCCCCAAAATGTGGGCTTCGCTGCTACTCGGCGCGCTGTGTGCCGCCAACGCCCTGGCGACGTCCGGGCACGACAACGACTTCAACGTGACAGACTACGTGTCGGCGCTGGCGGAGAGCGACGGCCGCCTAGTGGAACGCACGGTGGCCGCGCTGTTCGCGGAGGCGGGGCTGGCGCCGCCCCTGGGATGCCCCAAGCCCGCGCATACCCTGGAGTCGCAGACTAACGGGAAAAGACCACCACTGTCAACTGGGCCCGGCGTCGTCCTCAGCCAACCCGACGAACGCCCTCACTTCTATCACGTGGGCTTCGTGACCCCGTGCGCCCTGTCCAAGCCGTGGCACGTGCTGCCGCCTCTCATCCCAAGACGCACCTGAAGAAGCACCCGGAGGCAAGGATAAGGTTCATCTGGGGAGTGCACATGTTCAAGGTCAGAGTGGAGGTATGCTGCACGCCGAAAGAAGAGGCCTCCCATTCTGCCATGGCCACCACCAAGGCGTGGTGAAAAAGTTCACGACACTGTTCACCGGCCACTGACAGGGCCTTCTCATAGAGAACTAGGAAGGCTTCGCGTCGCATCAGACTAGCCGCAGGTCCTGCTGGGTTCATTCCGCGCTGTCCGATGAAGCCCGCGCGTGCGGTCGCAGTCCGCGCACTGCAATGCCTTTCACAAGCACCCGACCACGGTGGCAGGCACGCCAGCTGCCCACCGGAGCAGTAGCCCATGGCCCACGTCGTCTCCAAGGCCTACCATGGACCACGCTACGCTGCCTCAGCAAGCCCGCGAAGTGTGGTAATGGTGTTGCGGCGTGCGAGGGTGCATTACATCGTGCCCTTCAGGACCAAGCTGCGCAGTAGGCGTGCGGACTGCCCGATGTGGCGCCATAAGGGAAGGCCCTTCTCAACAAATTTGTCCAGGAAGCAATTTTCTTTTTAAGGCACCTGGACGCCGCGCGTGCTGACGAGAATCGCACTGCAGCCCGAGATCCAGCCCAACCACGGCATGGGCCGTTGGAGACGCAATGTCCGCCACTCTGGGTCCGCCAGGAGGCAGGACGTCACTGGTAGCCACGATGAAGCGAGCGACGGATGCAGGATGCAGCGCGAAGACAGGGGGCCTTCCAAAGGGACTCGAAAAAATGATAAGGTGAGCTGCTACCTCCTCCCTCCCCCTTGTCTTATCTATTGCCTCTTTTCTGAAGCCCTGTTGACGTGAACAGAAACTTGTCACCGCTACTGTGGGGCGTTACTGCATGCTGCTGCCTTACCGGGGTGCACTGTGCACGTTGACTTTATTGCGCAGCGGGGAGTTCAGGAAGGGTTGACCCTGCCACGCTCAGCGACGAGACCGTCGGCATCTCGGCCTACATCACGTCAACGTAACCGCCAGCTTGCATTGTCGCAGGGACCGCTGCGTAACCCCAAGGCACGCGCGCGCAAAGTGTTGCCTACCCTCACGGCGCGCGCCGCTCGTAGACGCCGCTGTTGGACGCTGTCTTACCGGAGCCCACCGCGAAGCTACGACGAACCGTGGCGGCATGACACATCGCTAGTGAGGACCTTCTTGACCGTGGCCAACACCAAGCTGCAGCGCCAGTCGGTCGCCCCCTGCCCCCTCCTACAGGAGCGTCATCGTCCTGCTCTCCGAGACGGCGTGTCGTGCATAGCGGGGGTCCAGCACCTCTCTGCTGGTGGACCAGCAGGTTGCTCTGGAGAACAGTCTCCAGCTAATAATAAAATGAACCTTCAATGACTTATCAGAACCAAACGCTTAGCGGTGAAATGGATCGCCAGAATGAGTGTACATAGGGTCTTGTACTGACTTTGAGTAATAAGAATAAAACTGTTGTCAAGCTGCAATTGTTTTTCCATCTTCCTATAACACAGCATCAGGATCAGTCCTCAGTTTGAGGAAAATTCTGTCTGTAGGTTTCCCAATTAGGCCAAGAGTTAATTAAGTAAATAATTGAACGGATCTTCTTTTTGCTTTTCCCTTGAGCACGTAACAAGACGATGGCAATTCACAAAAGACAATGCAGGCAGCAAAATGAGTAAAAAAGAAAATACTTCCAAAAAAGGTTTATTCGGTTGAAACAAAACTGGCGTGAAGTAGGCCAGCAGGCCTACTAGTAACATAGCTCAGCATTAAAAATAAGTCACAAATGACAAAAACTAAAGGAAATAAAACTTACATAAGGCAATACTTCAGGTACGCCAGTTAAGAGACTGGTAAACTTGTCTAAAATATTAAGATACATAGATGAGACTGAACATTTCACAGAAACTCCAAAATAAAAGCACAGAGAAACGACGCACAGTGGGTTGGAGAACTTTTGATAACAGTTGAGCAAATATTAAGATTCATAGATGAAAAACAGAAACTACAAAAAAAAGGCACAGAGAAACAAAGCCATTGAAACAGGAGAACTTTTGATAACAGTTTAGCAAATATTAAGATACACTGATGGGACTGAACATTTCACAGAAAATACCGAAAAAAGGCACAGAGAAACAAAGCCCAATGGCTTGGAGAACTTTTGATAACAGTTCAGCAAATATTAAGATACATAAATGAAAACAAAAACAAAAACTACAAAAAAAAAGTCACAGAGAAACAAAGCCATTGAAAAAGGCTTGAAAAAAAACTTGATTAGCAAATACTAAGATATGTAGATGAGACTGAACAGTTCACATAAACTACAAAAAAAAAGGCACAGAAAAACAAAGCCATTAAGAACTTTTAATAACAGTTTAGCAGCAATACGAAACTTGTTACAAAAATACTAAGTCAATCGAATTTGCATTCGACTAGGTCCTCTGCGTTGAGAGGAGCAGCCATGCACGAAGGGCAGTGATGCCACTCCGTCAGCCATCCAGAGATGCACGGATCACAAAAGTAGTGCAGGCACAATTTGAACTGCTTTGTGGCAATAGGCTTAAAACACAGTTGGCACTTAACACCTGTCACCTTTGGGTTTTTCCGAGGCCTCCCCCTCTTGCCTGGTTGCTGCTTCCTTGGACCAGCAGGTTTTCGTTTCTTGCGGGCAGAATCCCAGTCATCCTCATCGTCTTCCTCATCCTCATCTTCCTGAGTTGGTCTTCTGCCCTGGCGGCCAACCGCCATAGAACCTATTGAAGGCATAAGCATTCTTTAAAAAAAATAATTGTTTATCTAGAAACACAGCAATGCAGTCTCACACACATACCTTCATTTAGAGCAGGAAAAGGCGCAAAGTGGCGGGAGGCAGACCATCCACCTGAAATAAGAAGGATAAACTTTAGTCCAGAAAAAGAAGAGACAATTGCCCCATACTTTAATGAAACAACAAAAAATTCAAAACCGCAATACTGAAGTAAAAAAAAGGCAGCTATACATACCAGAGGTAGAGGCTGCACGCTGGTCAGTGGTATCATGGCGAACTGGAAAGAAAAGAATGAATTAGAACTTTGGAACAGGCATTTAGAACTGAAGCAAGAAAGAATAAAAAGTAATAGAACTCAATGATTACCTGGAGTGTTGCTGCGCCACTGCGCTTGCCGCCAAGGTGGTGTCTCGCGCCAAGGAAAAGGTGATTGTTCTATGGCATCGTTGCGAACTGGAAAGAAAGGAAAGAATGAAGGAGACCTTTAAAACATGCATTTGAAACTAAAGCATAAGAAAGAATAAAATTTAATAGCTCTTATTGATTACCTGGATTGTTGCAATGCCACTGGGAACTAGAGCTGGCGTTGGCACTGCTGCTCCCACCAGCAGGAGCTGAGTAGGGGCCTCGGGAACCTAAAATGAGAAAAAATTCGGGAAAGTTAAGAAACAGACATGGATAAACAATAGTAAGTGCAATAAAACGATGAAAGGCGGAGAAGTTGTGATAAATTACCTGGGCTGTCAGGCCACTGGCTCCAGGTGGAGGGGTCAACTCGAGAGGGGTCACGACCATGGTACCAGGGATTGGGAGCAGAGCATGGTGGATTGGCAGCAGAGCATGGTAGATTGGTACAGACATCACCGCAAACTGGAAAGAAAGAAGACGTTTAAAAGTAAATGTAAGGTGAAAATGAAATAGGAAAGAAAGGATTTAAGTTGATCCATGAAATGGAAAAGGGGATTAATTATACAAAAATATGAAAGGTGAGAACAAGAGGAAAATAAATAGTACCAGTTGAGGACGGACTTCCAGAGGCTGCAGCACTTGAGGTTGGTGCTGGGAAACAGCTTGGCCCAGCTGTTGTGGGACTTCCAGAGGCTGCAGCACTTGAGGTTGATGATGGCATAGGGAACATGGGTGTACAGCTTGAGCTTGGTCCAGCTGCTGGCATTGCTGGCAACTCAGAATAACTGGTGCCCAAACATGCTGGCACGAGCAGGTCGCACTGCACTCCCACTGTGACATGCTGGATGTCAGTCGTCTGAGAGGACTGGTCCCTCACTTCTGTAATAGACAAACAGAATACACAGCGGGTCAGACGACTGGAGGTGGCGATCAAAATCCCGGACGCGTCTTAAGCTCCTGAGTCGCCAAGGAGGACTCAAAGCGAACGCGTGACCCCACCAGTGGATTGCTGGATCACACGGTTTGATTCGAGTTCCATTTGACCACTCTGGAGCTCAAAATGCGCCTGGAGCTTTGGCCTGCACCGCTGGCCCACTGTGCCTCAGCCACCAATTCTACGCCGTAAATGAAATAAATATAACGAAAATGACAATACTAACCACGGACACGCGGAACAGATCCTCCTGGCCCAGTCAACGCCCTACCCGATCCTGTCAAGGCAATGTGTCAGCGATGTCTCAAAACAGAACAGGTTACATTAGTTTGAGTTTGGAATGAACTTACCTCCTGCTGCTGCAAAGAATTGCTGTAAAGCTTCAGCTAAGCTACCGGTTGCCGCAGCACGGTCCTGATTCTCAGCCATGTCACTTCGCACTGTCACCACGCTCAACCAACACCAACGAACACCTGGAGGAAACTAGATGGATTTGACTGACTTCGGTTGTCATTGCAATCACGTGAGTCGTTGTCTCTCCAGTATTGACAACCTTTGTGTTGAATATCCACTTTTAGCATGTCATTATTGGTATTAATTGAGTCAACGAAATAGACTGTCGGTTCGAAAGATGAATTCATTGGAAATGCATTATTTTTAAGAAGAAAAGCTGTTAATGTAACCCAAAGTAACAAAATTGAAACTGTGTGTGTTGTCGAGTGGCATGCGCCCAGTGGCGGAACATGGAAGCTCATATGCCAACGCTGTAATATTTATTATAAAATCGAATCTCAACTGAATTTAAACCTGCTTTCAACGTAAAACACCGCAATTACAGTATGCATTATGAAGGTGCAAGCCTTTATAAGTTCGTGATGCATTTTCCAGCTTGCACGAAGTCAAGACCAGGCATCGCTACCGTTCCTGTGGTCATCCTGCCGTGCACCAACGAACTTCCGGCTTCTCAGCTTGCCGTCTTTTGCCGTCTTGCACAGTTAACGTCTTCTCCAACTTCGGTCTGTTCTTTGGCTGCTCGTTCGCTGTTAGGTTGTGTTCTGCGGTCAATCGTCAATCCTTATCCATCCAGCATTATCATGAATCGCTTACAAAAAGACATTAGAGATCTTCTGGAGTGTAATGTGAGTACACATTTTGTCAGGTGTCGTGCCGTGCGGTCCATAGACCTTTTTTCCAAGCTTTGTTTTTGTATTTTGCCGACGAGGCAGCGCGTTTGTGCGGCAATATTTTGCATCAATGTCACGGTGTTCCATGAAGAATGTCGCTAGAATGGAACACCGCGGCCAAAATGTTCCTTTTTTGTCCAAACTAATACGCGGGCTTGCTCCTCTGCGTTACGCCTGCCTTTGTTTGAACCCTGCTCACCAATTTTGTTTCAGACCGAGAGAAACGGAATTTCAGTCTGCCTGAAGGACGACAACATGAATGACTTCCACGCCTTCCTGAAGGGCCCAGCAGACACACCATATGCTGGAGGAACATTCAAGCTTCGTGTTATGGTGCCACCTGAGTACCCTGTGAAGCCCCCAGCTGTAAGTCAAAGCAAATTTCTTAACCAGGAAGATATTAGTGTTATTATTTGATGCCTAAACATGCTTTCTTATCCAGGTGACTTTCGTTACCAAGATCTGGCACCCAAATATTTCTTCGCATACTGGCTTTATCTGTCTCGACATTTTGGCCTCAAAATGGTGTGTACCTTAATCCATTTCTGCCTTTTAAAATGCTGGCAAAGTGAACAATTTTCTCTTTGTTTCAGGCCTGGGTCAATGAACCTCAGAGGGGTACTCCTCTCGGTGCAAAACCTTTTGGCGAATCCTGAAAAAGAGGATCCCCAGGATAGCATTGTTGGCCGCCAGGCAGTACGGGATGAGAGCATCTTCATCCAAACCGCTCAAGAATGGACCAAGGTCTATGCTAATGGTGTGTATCTATCTTTCTGCAGCTTAGCATTCATGTAACAAAGACAAGGCATTAAATCACAAACTTCTATTTCAGGCTGTCTCAGTGATCCTGCTTTACAGCACGAAATTGGCAAGTTGGTTGACATGGGGTACGATCGAGATCTGGCACTTAGAGCTCTCTCTGAGTGTGATTGGGACATGGATGAAGCCATTGAAAAACTTGTGATGTAAATCTTTTTCGTATCTTCAAACTTCTTAGCCTGCTATTGCTTTAACGAGTTTACAAAATATCTGGCTTTTCTATACTTGATTGATCATGGTGTTCTTTGTTTCACTCTTTGACTATTTGAAGCTTTTTTCTTGTGTGTTTATTGCTTTGTTTTGCTACTTAATAGCCATTTTTGCATTTTTATCATGTAAGATGCCATGCTTCGTTCCTGTTTTATCTGTTTAAATGGTTCTTGTTTAGGATCTTTATCTTAACGCTGTTTTGTTCCTATCTAAATAAACATTGATTGTGTACGAGTATTTCTCTTTCACCCACAATTTCCACATCCCATTGTTGCTGTTTGTATTGCATTAATATTTGAAATATTTCATTGGCTATAACTGCATGAATTAACTGTTTCACAACACTAGAATTTTGAGTTGGTTCAGAACTCTGACCAGTCCTTGCCTGATCTGATATAGTAATTGTGCAACTAAGAGACAAAAATAAGGGAACAGCTTACAAACAAGTTCTATTTCATTCAGTGCTTCCAAATTTGTTGAAAAAACTGCTAGGATAGGAATGAGGAAGCTACATTAGAATTGAAAGCCTTCCTTCTGCTGCTTCTGGTAGTCATCTGAATTGTCTATGGAAACTTAATTATTTTTCCATTTCACTTAATTTAACTCACTGATCTAGAATATCACTAATTTCAAAATTATTAAGAAGTTTCAAGTTTTTCAAGAGATTCAAGAAATTTTTGTGTATAACAAACTCTATTTGTTTCATTTATGATTGGCACTTCAGAATACCTCAGAACCTCTTGCTAAACCTGAGACATGACCCCTAGCATATACTCAGATGCGAAAGGAAAACAATTCTTACTGGCCATCAATGCTGTTGCATAGAACTGAGCATCTTTCATCAACCAAGACTCAGAAAGAGGGGATTTTCTTTTAAAAACTAAAATATATTTTCCTAGGAGACTTAAACATTTTTATTTAATGAGACCAAGAACAATACTGTGAAGTTATACTTCAATGATGATCTAAGAATACAACGTTGAAACAATATAGAAATTGGAAATGTAAATTAACATGTACAAACAAACATGTATGATGAAACAATTCACATCACTTATTCTGGGTGATTAATCAATAAATCTGGATGTCAATAAGAAATAAGGAAATACGACACGCAACAGAGCTCAAGAGAATTCCTGTAACATGGAAACATTAAAATTGACAGGCGTACTCTGAAATTGAGATCTGCTACAAATTTCTAGGGCCCAGCTCTAACTTGTTCTTCAAACAATCCATGAAGGGTGGGAGACACACAATGGATAAATTCACGAATTGTTATATAGCCATCAAGAAGGTTCCGGGTCCAGAGCTGGATCCTTGCATCGTTAGCCAGTGACGAGGTTTTTCTTGGTCTGCCAGGATTGCGGCCTTCATACAGTGTCAAGATGTCTACAAACAAACAAGTCAAAATAAATAAAAACAAGTGGACATAGTCTTCAAATAGTCACTTGAAAGTGAAGAATGTTTATATACCAGTCTGAGCAGTATCCTCAATGTTTGAAAGGCACTCTGAAACAGAAAGATTTTTTTTGAAAAAAGAGAACAAAAAAGACATAAGCACAATAGTAAAGGGCATTACTGATCATAAGATTTCACATTATTTTACTTGGCATAGTCTAATTAAGGAATGCTTAAGGAATTATCTGTATAATAGCACTACTTAAACTAGAAGTATTTTGCTGCAGGTGGAATAATATAAAATCTATGATAGCAGCAGGGCATTATAAGATTAAAGTAAATAATTTGGAGAGCTTTATATGCATGCAACAATTTCTTAATAAAGCTGGCTTTGTACAAAGATGGCCAACCTTTTCTTTCCTTTGCACAAAGTAAGTAACATTATGAATTGTGTACTGGGCTGGTGATTCTAAATTTTACTGTCCAACATGAATGTTCCAATGGTCACACACAAACATACCAAGGAATCTGTAGACATTGACGTGATGCTCTCCAAGTTCGGATCCCAAGACATGGTTGAAACTTTCACATGCGTTATTAGTACGATGTACAGAGCCGCATACTGACAAGGATTCATACCTTGGGCCCGAGAGCCATGTGTACCATAGATAATCAAAGTAGGGAATGAGATCATCATAAAATAAAGTAAGCCTTGCTTCAGCAGCTATTGCACGCAGAGCATCTCGCATCATCTGAGGAGGAGCTAGCGGTATTCCACAGCATAACTGCACAATCCTTCTGACGACAGGATTTTCCCTTATCATGATAACCAGCCCAAGTTCATACTTTGCATGCTTGACAGAGGACTGCAACAAACAAGACAAATATGAAATAGCATAACTTCGAATACTAAAATAAGGCCTGGTTATAATACTAAATTATAAGGATTTTAGTTTTCTAATCTTTCACAGCAAATTGAAAACAAAAATATTTTTCAGAATTTTGAATTTAATATTTTGAATTACTGAAAGTTCAAAGCCAAGACAGAACTCACAACTACAAAGTGGAAAAGGCATCCATCAGAGTCCGCGTTTGGGAATTCTATCCTCAGAGCTCCCATCAGAGCTAGTTCATAGTCACTCATAACAGATTCAGGGTCAAAGAAAGGGGACAAGAGCTTCAACCGCTGGAACACTGCTTGGTATGCTGGTCTTGTCCTGCGTTCCATCAGGCAATGAACCAATGGGATCACATGCCAGTTCCAGACAGTGACAATATTAAATATCTGCAGAAAAATAAGAGATTCTAGAAATAAGTATCACTCATAAGTCAACAAAAAAAATATTTGTGAGTTTACCTGAGAAGCACGTGGAAGAGCAGGGGTGCTGAATGTACCATCAGAAAAAATGATTTTCACCCTCTCCATGAAATCAAGCATTCGACGTGAGGCAAAAATGACACACTTTGAGCCATCCGTAGCCTCTACATAGTCTGCAAAGATATTATCTTCACCATCATACGTCATTGAAATATCTCTGTACCGGGGATCCTGCAGGGTATCAACAAGTCCATTCAGTGTCAGTGGAATGTTAGGATATCTTCCTATTCGAGCATTTCTCATGCTGGTTCTAATGGCTCCCATCGTCACTCTAGCCTGAACAGGTCGAGGAAAGCTGAAAGAGATCACAGAAATTTGGAATTAGAAACAGCTCATTACTGGCCTTCCTCAGAAAAGTTTAACTCTGATGTCGTAATTTGATAAGTTTGACATGTTGAGACAGTATTTTAAGGTAAGGTACATACCGTCTTCTCTCTTCAGTCAGAATGGTGTGATAAGGTGCATAGCCTCGTTCCCTACACCTCCCTAGGATGTTCCTTCTCAATTGCTTCACGAATGGTAGCATGGGATCTCGTAGGTGATTATGTTCGACAGTTAACTGTATTCCATCCTCATCGGTATACACAGCTCTGCCTCGGCAGTGAAGACGGTAGTTGAGAATGCACTTCAGGTAAACATTTGCACCATCATTTCTCGCGTAATCGAAATAATAATGGAACCCATCGCCGGCGTGGATAATCTGTGTTCCACGTCGCTGACCCTCTTCAGCGAAGGCGTTGTCAGCCATAATTATTTACAAGTAATTTCAGCAACTTTGGAAGCAACCGGGAAGCAACCTCCTTTCCAAAGACAATGTAAAGATCTACGACGATGCGGGGACGGGGACGCGGGAGCGGGAGTCGGGGCACGTTCCTAAAACCATCGACTCGGCGGTGCGGAGTTCGAGATATCGATTGATCTTTGATACAACCTCAAGGTGTTGAGACGTCTATCCACAAGTAATCTCATCAATCCATGGTAACCAAAATCTCTATCAATCTTCAAGAATACTGCGAACCTTGCTACTCACACCAAAACACGATACAACCATCTACCGTGATACAACCGCGTAGAGCCCGGTGCTGCCCTCTACCCCTAGCTTGCCGTTGCCGCGGTTGCCGTGCCGTGGGCGCCCTGGCCCTGGCTCTCTAGGCAAAGTTTGTGACTCTAGTGTTTTTTTTTCTTTTTAAAGTGTTTGCCAGGTATGACATCAAAAGTTAACCGCGTTTTGCGATGTAGCATGTCTCTGAGCGCACCTCTACTCGAATGTCATGTCCATTTTGTTGCGATATGTACTCATTAAGTCCCTGAAGTCCAGACACCGACTCGGACATAACCTTGTCTGCCCCAGGCGTCCATAATAAAAATATCACAGATCTGTCGATTCCAAATCACAACTTATTAGTCATGACATTCAGTCAAGGGTGCGACCAGAGGCATTCCTGCACCGCAGTTTCTTTCTTGTGTCATACCTACTAAAAGGTCCACTTAACTAGTCATCACTAAATGTTTCAAATCAGGACTCACGGACAAAACTCTTTTCAGATTTATTATTTATTTATTTATTTGGTAAAAACATAGACAATCAACTATACATAGTCACAAATTCAGTACCATATCAAGTTCACACAAACTACAAAATATGGAATACACACAAACACATTTAACAACAGGAACATAGAACGACAGGTCTTTTTTGGCAACTGTATGTTAATGAAAGATAAATGTTTAATTAAACAGTAATCTTTAAAAAATCCAATTCTAAAAACTTTATGCCATGCCAACCTATTAATGGCAACTCGTACTTAAAAATATCGTATCTTATCTCACAAATTCACACTTTGCAGTCAATAACTGTCCTTCCTATAGAAGAGCACGACATAATGACTGAACACAAGGAGACAGCTTGTCAATAAATTCACTAACATGAATTTTGCCCGTGGACAAATCAGTTGTACAATCACTAACACAATTAGAAGTGGCAAGCGATCTTGCTTTTCTTTCTCTGCATGGCCGTTGTGCACGGAGGAGCAGTTGTATATCTGCAATAGAATATTTTTCAGGTCATAAATAAAGCCTTGTGGAAGCAGATTCGATATATTATTGCTTAGATAATTCAAACAGGACCCTTTTCTATGTTTCTTTCGAATAAATATTTATTTTTAGTGTTAACAGTACCTTGGACAGCAGTATCTTCAATGCTGGCAAGACCCCCTAATTGGTACGGGACCAAGGAAAATGAAATAGGTTGCTGTGAGTTGCATAGTGCCAGTAGTACCATTGTACCAGAAACCTTAGAATATGCAGTACTAACCAATAAAGAGGAAGATATTGCCACGTATTGAAACCTTTTCAGTCCGCATCATGTGGTGAAGTATTTCAAATGTGTTCATTGTACATTCCACATTAGAACATACTGAAACTTCTTTGTTTGCAAACCTGACACCATTTAGCCAGAAAGACCAAATATAATCGTACAATGGCCTCAGTTGGTTAAACACATTGAGTTGACTGGTTTTATTGACAATACATGTGAGTGCTTCACGCATTATCTCATGCGGACACATATTAATTATGCAGCAGGCTTGAACTGCACTAGTGACTTCTGCATTGTTTCTAAAGCTTGAGGAAAGACCTAAATCCTTGACAGCTTCCATTATAGACTGCAAGAAAAGGGTATGCTATGTCAGTGACACTCAATAAAAGACTGAAGTTAAAATAAATGAAACATTGTGGTGCTGCATGGTCTTGTATGATTTAGAGTACAAAGATAACAAATGGCCAAGTAAGTGAAACTAATGTTAACTTGTTGGCTGTTTCTTTTTCCAAACCATTATGACAATTTAATTTCAAAGCAATCAAGACAATAAATTAAAATGCTTCTGTTGAGGACATAAGGAGGAACTAACTGTATCTTCTTGCAACCATTTTCAAATCACTTAAATACAAGTCAGTGACGAAACAAATGAAAATCCAATTATTCAGAAAACGTTTCCAGCACTAGTTTTACATAGCTCTGCCTTTATACAAACACTTACTTTTATAAAGTGGAATGAGGTCCTGTTTAGGCATGTTACGGTAGGGAACAGAGCAACCCATGCAGCAGCTAAGTCGTCATCAAATCCAGTAACAACGGTTTCCGGAGAAAGGCGAGGGTTTAGTCTTTTGAGATGATTGATAATAGACTTGTATCCAAGAAAACTCTTTTGTAGAAATAAACAGTGGAGAACAGGCACAATGAAACCATTGTGAACAGCACTAATTGACAAAACCTGTAAAAGAACAAGATTTTTGTGTAAAACCACAAGTAAAACCCAATAACTTGAAGAATTTCAGGCAACTTTATATTAACTTACCAAGAAATGTGGAGTTGGTGTGGTTTGGCTACTGTCGCAATAAATCTGAGAAGCATGACTAAGAAAGGCAGTCATTCTGATTGAAGCAAATACTATGCAACCTGAACCATCAGGCAATTGAAAGTAGTTGCAAAATAAATTCTCCTGACCATCAATGCTTAATGACATCACTCGGTAGAAATGATCCCCAAAAATTCTTGCCAAATCTTCCAGGGAGGTTGGAGTAAATGGACACAGAGAGAGGCGTGCTAATTTCATTTCTACAGTCATTCTGGTCAGGGTAACCCTTGCTTGTACTGCTATAGAAAATCTATGATAAGAAAGGAAAAATAAGAAGTAAGAAAATGAGAAAAAAATAATTATGGTTTGTTTATAAACCTTACCGTGAGCTTTCTTCTCTGAATATATCAGCATAAGAAGAATATTCACCACTTTTGACACGAGTTAGTATTTGTCTCTTTAACTTGATCTCTTCTGGATATAATGGGCTTGGCAGATGATTGTGGAGGACGGTGTGTCTCAAACCAAAACCTTGACGCCAAACAGCACGTCCAGGACAGCCCTTAGTACCACTAAGCAAACATTCGAAAGCAGCTTCTCTCCGGTCTTCGCTTACTCGCGACAGGGTGTAATGCAACCCGTCACCGCAGTAATAAAACTTAGTATGGAATGCCTCTTCACTCATAACACCAGCGAATTCGATAGCCATCGAGTAATAACTGCGTGACTTGGGTGCGCGAAAAGTACTACTTCGGACAGTGCCCTCAAAATACAGCGTGTACACGACTTTCACAAAACGTCAACAACGTGGTCCAGTCTTTATTTCTCATACAAAGCATGATGTGTAGCCTCTGTACAGGGCAGTAAGCATTCTCTCAACGCCCCCTATCGGTCACATCAGTAACTACTAGTGCGCCACCCGAGCAGGAATACTCCGTGCCGCGGAGCCGACTATTTATTTTAATTAATAAAAATTTAAACTAATTTTTAATATTATGCAGCTGAGGATCTGGGATGTTTATCGGCACGCACTTAATCTCAGTGATGCCACAAAAAAAATGCAAGACTTTTAGAAAATAGATTTTTAAAAAAATGGTTTTATTGCAGAAAAACGCCGAAATTAATTGTTCGCCACGATATTGTTCGTCGCGATTTAATTTAAGATGACGAACAAAAATACGACGAACAACCGGCGCCACCTCATATAGTACCTTTTTTTTTCATAATCCAGGCAGTTTTACCGAAAATATAGTGTGTGTCTTTTTGGTTGTATTTGGCTAAATAAGCAGTAGACTGTGTGATGATTTTGGCCAGCGGTGGCATAGGAGACTAACGATGCGTGTTAAATTCAACAGTCTTTTCTTTTTGAAAACTTGAGTGCGCTATAACAGGTTTGAAAACACGGGTGCTCTGTTTTGTTTTTGATTGGCAACGATGTTATGTTTCGGGTGATCTCTTTGTTTTGTGTATACTGGTGGAATGGCAGAGTTTGCTGAAATTATTCAACTATTAATTTACTATTAATTTTTTTACTTTCCATTATTTGATTGTGTTTTTACCAATTGCGGGTGACTAGTTTATACCTAGCTTGTATTCTGTAAGTAATAATATTTTTAGGGTTGCTTTTGTCTTAATAGCCATTTGTAGGGTTTTAGAGTAGGGTACTGGCTGGCACCGCTTGTGCCTGAGAGCCCTACTCCTGTGTGACTTATACTTCTTCAAGATACGGCGAGACGAGTGAGGAACCATCGCAGAGCTTCGTCCAGAGTTTCATTTTCGGATCAACAAAAACCATAATTTCTTTCAAATTGCCAAGTCATGTTATGAGGAGGCACAGTCGGTGGCGTGGCCACGACTGCCCACGCCAAGTCCTACGGGAGGCGGCCGGACAGAACTGGGAAGGCGTTTGGCGCGCCCTATCTTAACCGAGGGATTTGAGGAAATCACCACGCTATTCGTTGAAAAATTCAAATTGTGGATTTAAATCTTTGAAGCGTTGGTTTAAAGTCCAGGCGCATGACTTAAAGCCAACAAAGTCGCGCGTGCTGTGGTCAGGTATAGCACCTACCTCAGCCCACTGCGGTTGCTTTGTGCGCCAATAGCAGTGCTGGCCCAGCTCACCAATTTTGCAAAGAGAAGAAGAGTCGACTCCTTTGCCATCGGTCATTCCAGCTCCAATAAGTCACACGGGAGACAGCGTCTCTGCCGGTAGTTGCCATGAGAAGAGAGAGTTAGGGCTTAGATCACGATACAAGCAAGTACTGGAATGATTTTTTTTTCTCTTCCACTAGTATTATATTTTTATTTTTAAAGACTTAAACTTTCCTATATATATATAAGAAGTAAACACTTGGAAAGGAACATTCTGTGAGAATCAAGGTCATTTTTTTTTCTAACTTCTAAGCGTTGTTCAGAGTTTTAGATCACATTACAATGTTTCTGTCACGACATTCAAAACTTGTATTTCACTTGTAATATTTCTTTTACAAAATTTTGTCATTTGAAGTCAGTTATCTTAAAACGCAACTGGTCAAAAAGCTGACGAATCCATTAATTAGCGTTCAGTTTCTCTTCGTTCATCCTAGTCTCTTTTTTTTCTGTATTTTATCCTGCATTCAGTATTTTTGGTCCATATTTCTATAAATTTCTTGGGTCGAGGGCGACAATTTTTAAAGCTCCGCAAAAGTTACGGCGAACCGGGAACCGACCTCGAATTTAATGGCACCACCCTCAACCTTTTAATCAATTTTTCTAGATGTTACGTAAATTTTACATTTAAAATATTTGAAACTAATTCTTTAAAGTGAACTGCGAGATCAGAGTGTTCACAGCACAAGACGTCTCGAAAACAAAATGCTCTCATAATAGACAGTCAAAATTTACATTCAGTTGTTGAAAGTTTCTTTGGGGTGTCAGGAATAATAAGAATTATGGGTAGAAGCATAGAGAAATAAATAAATGACAAAGCCTATTGTAACACGACTCAAATATTATAAGAAATGATAATGAGTACCAAGATTTATGACGTCGTATTGCGCAGAAGTAGGATTTTCATTCTGAAGAGTTCGTGTGGTTTCGAGAAAGGTGTATTAGCACTAATTATAATTTTTCAGTTTGTATTGGGTTTAGTTTTAAGGACTACTTGTATCATTTGCTTAGAGTGTAATTTTAAGATATTTTCTTGCTTTGATCAAACAATCACCCTTGATAGGTTTTAGCCACCATTGAGATGTAACAGGCAAAGGATATATTTTCATATATAATCAATTACACTGTAAGATTAGCTTAGAAAGAGAAAAATCTACAAAAAAATTACTATTTTAATTGGGTATTAGTTAATAAGACATGTGAGTGGTCATCGGACAGAACAACCTAATTTCAATGGGTTTCCTATGTGACTTACGTCCTTACGCCCAATGGCCACTGATGTCTAAGGATGAAATGCTAAAGTCGGACTGTGCTTAAAAATTGACGTTCTCTAATTCATCATGTTTGATTTTTGTTTGTGTTCATTTGGTTAAGAATCCGTTTGTAAAAGAATTGTCATATAAACTGTAGTTGGTCCACACACCTGAAACTAACAATTCTGTAATTGCTAAATGTTCATTCAATTGCTTCATTAGCATCAAAGTTCATTGTCGGGGTCGACAATTGTTAAGCTGCGCAAATGTTGCGGGGGCAATTTGAATCTCGCGCCGCTTCTGTCATCCAGCCCGCTCACGGCTATCTGGAGCGCGAGGCCCGCGGCGCGATGATGAGTGATGAGGTAGTAGCAATAGCGGAGCGGCGCCCCGCCGGGCCCTTGGCGACCCGCGGGAGCCCTCCAGCCGGACACAGACGACTGACTCGAGGCAGTCGTCTGGATACTCGGTAGTAGCGAGGGTGTGTGGAGCCCCAAACCTTGTATCCACCGTTTGATTATCGTAATACAACCAGTTCGGACTAATCTCATTTACAAACTCACTCGATTCCTTGAACCCGGGAGAAACACACCACCGAAACAGCCCGGGCAAAGCTCATATACTTCTGAACGAACGTGACACGATTAACTCGACGATGCTGAGATTGGAAGGTTCTCAATTTACTGTTTGTACTAACAACAATATCACGTTTTGCAGGCAGTAAGCTCTGCTCCTCTGTTGGGCGAGCTCTTGAAACCGTTAGATGGTTTGACGAAACCAATGGACGGCTTGACCAAACCACTAGAGGGTTTAACGAAACCACTGGAGGGTTTAACGAAACCACTAGAGGGCTTGACGAAACCACTGGAGGGTTTTACGAAACCATTGGAGGGTTTGACGAAACCATTGGAGGGTTTGACAAAACCATTGGAAGTTTTGACGAAACCATTGGAGGGTTTGACAAAACCATTGGAAGTTTTGACGAAACCATTGGAGGGTTTGACGAAACCGCTGAATGGTTTGAAGAAAAATCTGGAAGGTTCAACGAAATCACTGCAAGGTTCGACAAAATCGGCGGATGTTTCAACGAAATCACTGCAGGGTTCGACAAAATCACTGGATGATTCAACAAAATCACTGCAGGGTTCGACGAAACCACAGGACAGTTCGACGAAACCGCTGCAGGGTTCGACAAAACCTCTTGAGAATTTGACGAAACCACTGCAAAGCCTTTTGCCATTTGGCAATTTGTTGGGTCGCTAGAATAAAGCAACTCCGTTTGAGCTTATATAGTGTTTTCGGAGGCCTGCTGAAACGAAGACGCACCGTCACGCTTCATTGAAGTGAATGCCAGGAATAAATTTAAAAAAATATGAAAATTGTACATTATTTGTTTGAACCCAATTAACACTACTAATGCGGTTTCAGACCAAACATCTTTCCGGAAAACGCATGTTTTAAGTATAAATCAGAGATTCTTAACTTAACTTAACATTTAACTAACACTGCTGTCATAACGTAACATAACACAATGTTCGCTATAGGTTAAGGGTACGGACTTATGAAAGTACTTGCAAAAGTATATCCATACAAATTCGAGACTTAAAAAATAACTTACCCTTTGGATTAGATGTTAGAAGTTAAGGGTAATAACTTCAACTCTTATGATAACGTTATGATGCCCTTATGAGGTAAGTTACGGATCCCTGGTATAAATTGTGAACAGGTAGCCAAAGTTGCTTCGAGGCGTTTAAATATGATCTCTTGACTTCGTTTTGCAGCATAGCAGCCCCGTCAATCGTCCGCGTTTACTGAGCTACGGCCGTCTTTAAAATGCGCTGTTTTGGTGCACAATTTAGTTTTGAAACCAATTGTGGGTCAGCAATTTTTAAAGCTACCTGCGCCTCAAGCCTTGTACCATTTTTGACAAACTTAAGTTGACTTACATTCCTTCACCTATCATTCACCTACATGGGCAAGGCGTTCCTCTTCATTCCATAATAAGGGAGAGTGGGGCGATTCGTAACGGGGGCGATTCGTGACGAATGCGTGTATTAATTTTGGCAAGCCGTTTTGAACGCCAAAATTGGCAAGCTTGGCCCGGAAATACTCCCCAGCTTGCCAAAATTTGGCAAACTTATGAAGATTGCCGACCAAAGCTTGGCAAATTTCAGCATTCAAAACGGCTTGCCAAATTTGTGGCAAGTAAACTTACCACTGCCTTTGCAGTGTGGTGCAAGTGTCGCTGCCACTTCGTTGTACCTATCAGTTGCTCACGACACCACCTCACCTCACACATTTTACGACTAGGTCGTGCATGGCTGGTCCTCGAAAAGCAGTATAAAAGAGACACCACATTCGCGACACTACGTTAGTTCGGCAAAATGAAGTTCATCCAGACTGTTTTCCTCGCGGTTGCCCTCTGCTTGGTGGTAAGGTCATCCCCTGTTCTCTCGATAGCTCTAAGTTGGAAGGAAAACACCGTCAACTGATAGTAGTCAGTGTCGGGAAGACCAACAAGCTGTACGAGTAAAAAGACAGTGAAGAATGGGAACTTTTGATTTGCACAAACGCATTTAATTAGCTAACCCCATGATAATGCAACACACTTCGAAATGCACGGTCCTCAGATTCAACTTCAGCTCTTATAGTGCGTCTATCAGAAGTGGATACGGAGGAATCGCCACTAAGCGAATGGTATTTTTCCAGTATCAAAAATCTTAGTTTAGGTTTTAAAGAGGGTTCTTTCCCATGCTTCGGAAAAAGTACTAATGAGTAGGAGATTTTGTTCGCAGCACCGAGCAATTTAACTGGATTCAAAACGTTTTAAAGCCGAAAAAGGTGGTGACTGCTGTGGTCGGGAAAACGTGAATATGACATACTTCGAGCTAAAATACTCCTTTTCAATCCCTTGTAAGACTAAAAAAGGAAATTCTGGGAGAAACTTCGTTAAATCTGAGGGGAAATCATGACAACTTTCTGTTTACCTTAAAATTTGCATTGGAACTTTTGAGTGGAATGTCTTCGAAGCTACTCGAGATTCCCCAATTCAGGGGAGCATCAAGCACATTTGGAACCGACCCAAACTGAAAAAGTGGAGCTCAGTCCGAAAGACAGGCACTTAGAGGGGTCTAAATTAGCGAGGAGTCACCCACTACACTTGCATAAAGGCCCTTACTTTGCCTACAGTGTAGGCAGTGACGACACGCTCGTTTCAAAGTGAACCATGTTGACGCCTGTATGCTTATCATGTCACGATCGTTTGAACGTGACTCAGGCCTCGTCTGAGCCCGAGTCTCGCCGATTCACGCCCCGAGATTCAACAAAAATTTCACAAATTCCTGGAGGATAACCTCGGACTTATCCTGGAGAATAGAAAAACTCATAAGAAGAACAAGAAACTAGAAAACCCTGGCCGCCATGGGACATGCCCAAAGGCCATCGCCGATGGGCCAAAACACCGAACCTCTCTCTCTCTTTCTCTCTATCTAGCCGATTCACGTTAGGACAAACGTGAAAAAATACAAACGAACGTGACATGATTTAATAGATTTCAACTCTGACGGCACTCTCAATGAGATTTCGTTCTCTTGTCCCCAAGTACTTTTAATTCTGCTTCTTTTTCAGGCAGTAAGTGCTACCCCCATCCTGGACCACCTCTTGGACCCGCTGAATGGTGTGTCTGCAGCACTGAAGAGCATTAATGGAGGCCGCTAAAGGATCGTGCCTCCGTCTGCGCTGAGGATGGCTGTTTTTTGGGAGCTCTCCTTAAGCTATGCCGCGTCTTCACGCTTAATTAAACACTACTAAAGGAACTGAAAATTTAATACTGACCCTTAAATCCAATTCACACACTTGCAGTTTTCGACAGAAAGTTTCGGTCGATAAACCAATTTGCTACTTAGAATATCAGGCTGATGAATCGGACCAATGACAAGGACTAACATGCGCTACAAGGAACAGGCTTCGCGATACTGCGCCACATTCGACAATGCGTTTATACCTTGGCCTGCGGTGCTGTCCAGTGGCGCTGTCCTGCCTTCGGCAACGTGATCGCTAGTCAAAACAGCATTCGGTTTTTCCGTTATTGCTTGGAAGCTCAGCCTCCCAGACCCCCTTCCACGTGTGGAGTTACCGGGCTTGCTGGTCTTACTGCAAGACACCATTCAGCTGGGCACCCTCGCGAAAGTCAGACATTTTGAAAATTTCGGGCGTACATTCAGTTCAAGTTATGCCTCATTGCGATTCCAACCTGGTCCGAGGGACAGAATGGGTTCAGTTTCGTCATCAGCACCCTCGAAGACTTAAGAAGCGATGTTAAACTTATAACAAATTTGAACGTCACTAAAATGTTGCCTCTTTGGCCGTTTTTAAGGGGGGACCCTGGTGAAAGTTTCAAGTAGGCTCCAAAATAATCCCAGAAAGTTGAAACTTTGCTTAATTATTAGGTTCAAAATGCTGAGTTCCCAAAACAAAATTCAATCCAAAATGTTGAACGGTCTCTGAGAAAAGTGGCTTTTTAGTGTTTTTATAGAGCGGTGGGGAAAAATCTTCCTGCATCTTTCATTGGGACGGAAAGTCTTGAAATTTTTTTTGGGTCATCCTAAAGATGTAAAGAAGAGATTTTAGTGACGGAATTTTCAAATTCAACTTCTGTCAGATAAGTTTTCAAATTTTAACATAAAAAAGTGATTTTTTCCCCCTTTCTCAGACTTTTAGGTGTTTGTAAAAAAAAAGGAGGGCTGATACCAAGATTCCATCACTAAAATTTGTCGACAAGTCACCAATGAATAAAGTCCATGCAAGACGACTCATGTAGGTGTCAACCAGGAACGCAGGAAGTCTATCTACGACAAAATTTTTTGTCGACTGAGCAAAGGTGTGAAGTTGAGCGTATAAGCCAACGACAACTGATCTCAATCTTATTTCCTTCCAAATGATAAAGAAACTACTCACTTAACTAAAAGGTGTTCAACCTGTTGAATCTGAAACCTTCTATGCACATTTTTATCTATGAACTTTGAAAATACTATTTTTGGCAATTTTGGCGATTTATTCACCAGGGTCCCCCCTTAAGTGTTTTATGGTTGGTTTCACTGAATGGTTTTAGATAGGAGGCTGAATTTTGGCGTGTGGCGAGCCAAGGACATACCCAATGACCCTGCAAAATCTCAGCCAGATCGGCTGAGCCGGTCAGGAGTAATGGACACACACGCACAGACAGAAAAAGTTTTTCAACTCCACTGGAGTAACGGGCTTTGCTATCGCTCAGCCATAAATAAAAGCATGAAAATAATGATATCGAGCCCTCAAATTCTGTTACTTTTGAAAACACAAACATTGTAGCCTTGCCCTCCCTTACTGTTTTCTTCGATTTCCGGAAAGATGTGGCCAACCGGCCGATCCCAATGGCCCCGTTCAAATACAACTTCATTGCGTTCACATCAGTAACCAGTTATACCGTACGATTTTGTGTCCTTGGCGGAAACGTTTTTATACGTTACCAAATGGCGACACACACACACACACCAACGCAGACAGTCAGACAGACAAAATTTTCCTAACCCCACCCGAGTAACGGGATTCGCTATCGCTCAGCCAAAAAGTGATTCGTTTTCACAAAGTAACTTCACCTTAACAAGGTAGGTGTACGCCAGACCGTGTCTTGTCGAAACAGGCTTCGCGATGCTGCGCTAGTTGCGACATTCCACGCCTGGCGTATACACCTACCTTGGCCTGCGGCGCTTCCAGAGTGCAGGGGGTAGAGTAGGGTAGGAGGCAGAATGCGGATTGGAAAAGAAGCTTCAACTCTACAAGGTAGGTGTACGTCAGGGGTCTCAGACACGCGGTCCGCTTAGGCGCTTCTCGGGCCGCAGGAAAGATAGGCGAGAGACACAAGTCAAGGCCGGGCCGGCGACTGGCTCGTCTCCCTGCTGTCGAAGAATGTATCGAGCGGCCGGCAGTGAGGCTGTCTCTCTCGCACTCCCGCGGTTATATGGGAGGGACAAGGACAGTCAGTGTGCTCGCGCGGCCGACGTGAGCCGAGGCAGCGCTAGCCTGCCTGCGGCAGGCAATGGCTTGTCCGTTGTCGGTTTTTTGGCTGAGCGATAGCGAAGCCCGTTACTCAGGTGGGGTTGAAAAGTTTTGTCTGTCTGTCTGTGTGTCTGTCTGTCTGTCAGCACTACTCCTCCTGAACGGCTCGGCCGATCTGGCTGAGATTTTGCACACTTTTTGGGTATGTCCTTGGCTCAGCACATGCGAAATTTCACTATCCTAGCTCAACTGGTTCAGTTTTTATAGCCGAAAAACACCTAAAAAACGGCGAAAATCGAGTTTTCTGCCGGCAAATACCTTCTGCCTTGAAGAAAGGGGGGGTCAGGGGGGCAGAGCCCCCCAGCCCCGGCAAGTTGAAAAGTAACAAGGGTCAAGATTGTGTTATCTGTGGATGAAGCAACTCTATCTGGAATGAAGGGGGGTCTGCGGGGCGGAGCCCCCCAGTATGCAACAATTTAGAAGTAACCGACGGTGGGCAAGCCATGGCCTGCCGAAGGCAGGCTTGCGCCGCAGGCCAAGGTAGGTCCGCCAGGCGCGGATTGGAGGAACAGGCAGCGAGACATCGCGAAGCCTGTTACGACAAGACGCGGTCTGGCGTAAACCTACCTTGTTAACTTGTTGAATGCTGGGGGGCTCCGCCCCCCAGACCCCCCCTACATTCTAAACAGAGTTGTTTTATCTACAGATAACACGATCTTGTCCCTTGTCACTTTTTAACTTGTCGTAGCTGGGGGGCTCCGCCCCCCAGACCCCTCTTTCTCCAAGACAGAAGTAGTCTATCTGCAGAAATCTCTATTTTTCGCCGTTTTTTAGGTGTTTTTCCCCTATAAAAACTGAACCAGTTAAGCTAGGATGGTGAAATTTCGCGTGTGCCGAGCCAAGGACATACCCAAGAAGTGTGCAAAATCTCACCGAGATCGGCCGAGCCGTTCAGGAGGAGTAGTGCGGACACACAGACAGACAGACAGACAGACAGACAAAACTTTTCAACCCCACCGGAGTAACAGGCTTCGCTATCGCTCAGCCAATTACTTCTCTTTCAATTCTGAGAGCACGGTAAAAACGGTTCCTGGTTTTCCCAGGAAGCCTATGGTAAAGACATGGGCGACTTCCAGGGGGTTCCTGGAAAAACCAAGAACCGTTTTTACCGCGAGAAGCTGATTCTGACACCCTTAAACCGGTGCGCTACCAAGTGGCCTCACCCAGTAATGTAGACGCTGACTCTGATAGTAATGCTGGTGAACATGAGTTAGGTGCTGGTATGTTCACATTTGCTTTGCCATGATTTCTATAATTTTTTGAGATATCTTAAAGGATTACCACATATTGTTTGTTTTGTTTTGTCTTTAGAGTATTTCTGAAACTACTATAGTGATGAGAGTAACTTTTTCCATGCCTTGGGTGCCACAGCGGATCTACTGAATGAAATGGCTTTACGATCAAGTGATGAAGAGGAAAGTGAGTGAACATCAAGCAAAGATAGTGGGTCTGAACCCCACTCTACAAACACTCTAAAAAATAATGGCATTTCTACTACACCGTCGTATGGAAAAAGTACCAACTTCGGTATGGGAAACGACAATCCTATACGTGATTTGGAAAATTCCTATGCTTTTCGTTCTTTTGCCAATGCGGTGTAGTAAAAATCCGAACCTAGTATAGGAATTTGATTTCCTATACTCGTGTTCGGTTTTTTCCCACACTTTTTGGTAGAAATACTATTACTTCAGGCCATTGTATACTGCTTTTCCTACAACCCATTTGTAAGAATCCCAAACATTTCTGAAATATTTTTTCAGGAGAGAGGGGACCAAAACAGACGTTTAATATTAATAACAGGCTAACAGCACAATGACTAAGGCGGCAAAGCTGCTCAGAGAAAAGTAAAGAACAGCTCATGTTACGTCAAACCGTGAATAGAAATTGGCACTTGACGATTCGTTAAAACCGGTTTAAACTTATTTTGTATCTTGTTCTGCCCCATTATCACATCTGGGTTTAGATAATTTTGACTTCTTCATCAAAACTTGAAATGGGTTTGTCTCAGAAAATCGCGGCAACTCAGAACTACTTATACTACAGATGAGCCATGGTTTTGAATCCTTGCGAAATTTAAAGTGATATTATTATGAAGCTGAAAATAAACGTAGCGCTCCAAAGCATTTTGACTTCGTCTATTGTTAAGTTACCTTGTAAAAGGTGAGCTGTGGGTAAGGGTATGGTCCACTGTCAGCCGCCTGACGTCAGGTTGCACAAACCTGCCGCTAGGTGGCGCTTGGAGCGCCGTGCCCGTTCACCAATAAGTATTTCCGATTAATGTTACGTAAGTAAATAGTTTTTGATAAATATATCATCTGTTGCCTAAGTAAGTGTCAGCCCTAGCCGTTGGCTTTCAGTTTCAAACAAAATATGACACTATAGTCGAGAAAAACGCTTTTCCATGTTGCCACTCGCTGGCGACTGCGGTCGGCCATTAGGTTGGGTGCACGCAAGATCCGCCTTGTGATACAGAGACGGGAGAGTGCTGAACTGCTTCTGGGGAGAAAGATTACCTCTCTCAGAGACCGTTTGTCTCTTTAATTTTTTAATGCCTGCCCAATGGTGATGGCGCTGGCGCCATGTACTCTCGGGATGTGTTCACTATTACCCAAAGTAAGCCTTCCTATGAGTGTTTAGGAGTATTACCACATCACGTAACGGAAATATCCCACAACTCGTATGGGATTTTTACCATACACGGTGTAGTAGTTTTCCCACACCC